TTGATAAAAAAAATATTTTTCAATTTATTTGGCAAACTTCTCAAGCTTAAGCAACTACTCAAATTAAATATTCTCAAAGAAAAAAAGTTTTCAATTCATTTGGCAAGCATATCAAGCTTAAACAACATTTCAAATTCAAACTTTTTAAAGTCGAAAGTTTTGCCAATTTATTTGGAAGCTTATCAAAGTTGAGTAATAATTCAAATCAAGTGTGGTCAAAGAAGAAAGATTGGCCAATTTATTTGACAAGATTTTTAAACTTAAGTAATTATTCAAATTAAATATTGATAAAATAGAAATATTTTTAATTTATTTAATAAGTTTCTTAAGTTTAATCAATCTTGTAAATAAAGTATTAATAAAGAAAAAAAATCTCAATTCATTTTACAACCTTGTAAAGCTTGGAAAATTACTCAAATCAAGTTTTGTTAAAAAAAAGATTTCCAATTTATTTGACAAGCTTCTTAAACTTAAGCAAGTTTTCAAATATAGTATGGAAAGAAAAGAAATAGATTTGCTAATTCATTTGGCAATCTTTTCAAGATTGAGCAACTTCTCAAATAAAGTACTATAAAAGACAAAAAAACTAAAAAATTATTTTATAAGTTTTTCAAGCATAAGCAACCATTAAAATCTAGCCTTATCAAAGAAGAAAGATTTGTTAACTCATTTGGAAAGCTTGTCAAAATTTTAAAAAAAAATCTCAAATAAATTATTATCAAAAAAGAAAGATTTTTCAATTTCTTTTACAAGATTTTCAAGCTTGAGTAAGAATCCAAATTAATTGTAGTCAAAGAAGAAACATTGGCCAATTTATTTGATAGGTTTCTCAAGCTTAAATAAAAACCTGATTTATATGTACATATTTTATATATTTAATATTGCTATAGATTATAATTTATTATTTTTTTATTTTTTATTCATTAATTATAAGGGATTATATTTGATAATAATATGAAGAATATGATCAAACAATTTATTATAAAAGGATTACACTTTTTTCTTCTATGAACACTTATATGTAATATTAATAGAAAGTGAAGTGAATATATCTTTGAGATATTTATTTATTTAGAAAAAAATTAAAATCTAAAGATTATTTTTACTAAAAAATGACTTAGATTTTATTTATATACTTTCTATAAAGTTACTATAAAGTTAACATCTAAAATATGTAATTAATTATTTTGAAAAGTATTTGAAAAGTTAATAGTATTGAGTCTAAGAAGATTTAAATTAGATAATATTTCTAATATTTAGTGATATTTCTAATAAAAAAATAAAAAATAAAAACCTCCATATTATTGAAAGATACTTTATAAATCAAAAATAGATTAAGTAGAATTACTCTTAGAATATAAAACTATCTAAATTTAATTAATGGATATAATATTACACAACCTAATATTAATTTTTGATTTTAAAATTATTATATTATACATAAATTTATTTTTTAAAACTAGAAGATTAAATTAAATTTACTAAAAATATGATATTATATTTATTACTTATATTTTAGACCTTTATATAAATTAAATTAATTTTTTTTTATTTTAGATATTTTTATTTAAAAACAAATAAAAACCAAGCTCTTAAAAGTCTTATCAATATACTTCTAATAGCATAAGATTTTTAGTATTACAAGATTTACAAGATAAATTCTAAAATCATGAAAATTTCTATTATTATAATTTAGATCTAATTATTTTTATAAATATTATTTTATAGCCAAATATTATATATCCAAAGACTCATATAGATTTAAATTTTATCTATTTTATAGCGTATTTAGAATAAAAAAATTATATTTTTTAAATAAATATTTGATCTTAAAAAGTTTTAAATTTTTTCTTCAAATTTTCTAAAAAAATTTAGTATTTTTTTTATTTTTTCTTTTAATTTTTAGAATAAATTTATAAAAAATAAGATGAGAATAGAAAAAAAATTGTATAATTTTAGACATAAAAATAATAGAATTTAGAGATTAGACAAGAAAAAACTTTATATTTAGTTCATTGCCTTTATAGTTTGGTAGCTCCATTTTTAAAGAATCGCCTTCATTTTTTACAAGTTAAAAATCAATATGAGTGATTTTTTTAAAAAATGATAAAGTATAGTTTCTAGAAAGCAAATAAATGATCATATGATAGGTGAGAAGTGGTAAGAGTGTTATTTCCTGTGGCAAAAGATTTGATGCCTCTAGTTTTAATTGACTAAGTAAAGGCAAAAATTTTGAGGGCAAGATTAGAAGGATTAAGGCAAAATACGTAATCAAATTTTAAGAGTTGATGCTATTTGAAGTCAAAATTCTAATAAATTATGACTTATTGGAAGAAAATCAAGGAGCAAGCTGTGGAACTTAATTCTATAGAAGGATATTTTTTGCCTTCTTGAGTTAGAACATCAACTTTGAAGGGAAATAGCTAAAAAATATAACTTAATTTGAAGGCAAAAATTTGAAGGTGGATTCATCTTCAAGTCTTTTTTTCAATAAACCTAGTAGAATTCAATTTGAAACTTGGAATCAATTTTTTATTTTTATTTTTATTTTTATTCTGACACTACTATAGATGAAAATATAAACAAAAATAATTTTTTAATTAAAATTTATCATCTTAATTTTAAAAGAAATTAAGATATTTAAACACGATTTTATAAAAAACTTCTAGTTTATTTTATTTCATAGTTTAAATTTATTGAATATTTTTTTCTTTAAGGTTTAATTTTATTGTAAAAATATTTCTACAACCTTAGAAGACCATAAAATGGTAAAAATGACGTGTATTAGGTGAATAGTTGATATGATTGACTCTAGGATAAAGCTAAGTTTAAGGTTGCACTAAAAGATCCCTAGGATTGGTTGGATTTATACCTAAAAGGTGGCAATTTGTGAGCCATGGTTAAAATCAAATCTCTAGCCATTAAAATGGTTGTCTAGGGCAAAATATGGGAACATTTAGAGATCAGTGTGTAGGATTGGTGGACTAACTTCAAGTTTGTTCTAGAAGTATGAGGCTTATTTTATTTGATTTTGTAATGACTTTGAAAGAGTTATTTAAAGTTAACGTTTGTATTAGCAATTAGGATTTTATACAATAAAATTAGAGCAGGCATTTTTTATTGATTTATGCATTCTAAGCAACATCTATGGTTGGAATTTCTTGAGTATATAACTAATTGTGTATAGTAGATGTATGTAGAAATTTATACCATAGTGATTGTAAAAATAAGATATATTTGATTATAAGTGCAAACAAGTATTAGATTTAGGATAATTTAGGATTGGTTAGGTTTTTTGTAATATGTTTAAATTTGTCGATTATATTATATGACATTGTAACAATGCAAATAAGCATTAAAAAATTTGGTTATTGTTTTGTAGATTACACATTTACATTATATAAAGACAAAGAAATACAAAATTCTTAAAAAAAAAGGAAGTGTAGAGTGATTAACAAGCTTAGAAGTAAATTTGAATAAGTCTTATAGAATAAGGTAGGATGATTTAGAAAATCATTTTAGATAAAATTTTAAGAAACAAACAAATAACAAAAAAGATATTTTTGTTGTTATTAGAACAAATCTTGGATGTTTAGAAAGATATGAAGAGTATATTTAAGCACAATAAATTACTAGAGCTTTAGAGATATATAAAATAGATAAATTATATATAAAATTTTATTATTATTTAGGATTTTATGCTTTGATGCTTGTCCTATCTTAAAAATATGAAGGTTTTAAATGGATTATTAGTAATCTTTAAAACTAATCAATGCATCAGAAATGGCTTACTTGTGTTAAATAAATAAATAGAATAAAATAAAATAGAAGATAATGCATATTGGAAGAAATTTTTTAAAACTTTAACTTTTCTACATTTATCTACATATATGTATGTGTGCAAAGAATGCCTTGATGGGCTATATAAGAAGAAATGTTTCTTGCACATCTTTATTTATTTTTATTTATCACAATAAAATAAAATCTCAAGTTTTCATAATTGCTTTTAAGTCTCGGACTAGGAAATTCTTCAAGTAGCTTTTTCACTCGCATTGTATCAAGGTGTGGCACATTACGAAAAGCCAAGGTGCACATCCTGTTGTGGCAAGGGAGCCCTCAAGCCATAATCATCCTGCTGACTACCCAGAATTCATTACATTAATTTTGAAATTCCTTCAACAAAATTAACTCTAACGGTGCACCTGCATCGCTATCATTAACTAGCAGAGCAGACTAATCCGCAACCAAGTGAACTATAGCTGAAGGGATTTCATATTAACATTGCTCCATCAACTCATTAGCATGTTCGTAGCGAAGACCTGTTTACTTTTTTCTTGTTATTTGATGCTTGCTTGTCGCTTCTGAGGCCTTTCAAGACAAGGTGCGCTTGTATCAGTCACAGCCGACAGCACAAACTTTTGGACATCGAGGATAACATGAAATCATGTAGTGCTGGTTCTTCTGGGTCTGATTAGAATCTAACCTTATATCTTTAACTGCAAGTTTCCTCCACACACATCATTAGCTCCACATCTGGTTCGACGCCGTCGACTTCAATGTTACAGGACTAAAGTACAATATGTAGATTGGGATTGAATGAGGAGAACGTTTCCATCATCATGACCAAATTAAACATCAACTATATGAAGTCGAAAGACTTGTAGGACAGAACCACCACTGATACAGAACATTATCCGGCAGCTTTGATGAACACGTATGGGAATCTCTCATGCGAAATCTAACGCACACTAAAAGAAATAGAGGAAGTGTCCTGCAATCCGTATGTCCATTGAGATCAGTTCCACTTACTGCTTTTACAAGCTGTGTAGGCCATATCTCTTCAGAAGCACTCTATTCTTACATCTCTTGAGGCACTAAACCTTGAACATCAACCAAAGTATGGTTGCCTACTGAAGTGCAAACTTTTCACCAATGTAGAGCACTGAAGCGCAGGGAGAATGTTGGCAGTAAGGAATATGAATAAACAAGAAACATGAGCAATGATTGAATTGGTGAGAGAATTTGCATTACAGCCACAATGGCAGAAAAGAAGTCAGAGCTTATAATGTAAACAAAAATGGATAAGAGTCAAGAACACAAATACATACTGTCCACAAGCTCACTCAGAGTAAGACCTCGACTCGATAATGCATAAATCTAAAATCACTTCACACTACGCGACAACGACCTTATTGTACTGCTTCGAAAATCTCGACGCTGCCTGCCAACTCCTCACGAGTCTAGAGGATTGATGAATTGTTCATGTCTTGATTGCAGTGAAAGCAACTTGCTGCCCCACTCACACTTAGCTTCCGCCCAACTCTGAAATCTCATCTTACATGAGCCAAAAGAATGGTCTACTGTACAAATCCCGCAATCGCATAAATCTTCTCCCTCTCAGTTACCAAAGCAGTAACACAACCAAGGTTGTATTCTTTGAGAATAGATCCCCAAGCACCGCCCGCTTTGCTACTCTCAAAATTGGCACACAATGCAGCAATCGGGCTTGAGTGTTCGGTGCGAAGAAAATAGGGATCAGAAGAAAGCATCGGCCTTCCTACGGGAACGTGAAACCACCAGAGGCCGCGGTGCTATCGTTCGAGGGACTGATGTACACCCACAAGAGTGAGATGATGACGGAGAGCAGACCAGCCCAGACGAAGACGATAGTAGGCGTCTTGCCACCCTTACCCATGAGACCCTTGAAGAAGGGGTAGAGATGCAAGAGCACCCACAAGGAGAAGAAGACTCCTCCCAGAAGCTTGCTCCATTCGGGATTGGTGGCGTAGATGGTGCGAGAGATGCCCACGGCTATGGCTACCATGTTGGTGAGACCGATGGTGATGGGAGGGATGAAGAGCGATGACCACTTGACGATGTAGAGATCAGCGTAGATGTCGTCCTCGTCCTCTCCAGCCGACTTAGACGTCAAGGTGAAAGAAATGTCGACTCCGGCCATGACCTTGAGTAAGCCCTGGAACACAGCAGCAAGATGGGCACTCGTTCCTCCAATTACCCAGAACTGTTCGTTTCTCCACCACTCCTCGAGTGAGATGCCGGACCATTTCACTTCCAGAACAGCGAGCGCAAATAGGGTGATGGTGATGGTGAGGAGATAGATCAAGAAAGAGAGATTCAAATTCTGCACGATAAATTGGCCGGTGTAGAGGGAAAGAGCGGGCAGGAAGCAGTAAACTAAAAGAAAGATTGAAGTGAACGGGTAAATGCCGACATTTAGGTAAGCAATACGCTGCAAGAACTTCAGACGGGAGCTGGCGAGAAGAGCATTGTTCCGAGAGAAGAAAATTTCCACAGATCCTGTAGCCCACCGGAGCACCTGCAGTTCACCATTCGAGAGGATTAACCAATCAGGAATTCACTAGGTGAATGAATTGGTCAGGCATGTGCTGTAATCTTAAACCCAACGAAGCAGATTCCTCATGCACAATTCTTAGAGATGCCACCTGTTGCTTACCTGATGAAGACGGTCAGTAAGATTGATTGGAGCGGTTCCACGAAAGGCATCGCGCTTGGTGACACAGTAAATTGAGCGCCAACCACGATTGTGCATACGGAAACCTGTGACCACATCTTCTGTGACGGATCCATAAATCCATCCCACACGACCTCCCCATTCTGTTTTGTCCTCGTAGAAGCAGGACACCACATTGATAGCTTCCGCAACTGTTTCGGCGTCCAAGGGCTCCCTGGGAACAGTGAGGGCCCCAGCAGGACGGCTGTTCAAGACACCTTTGTCTGCCAGAGGTCGGCCTTGAAATTCAGCCACAGGGATGGAAGCGGCGAACACCGCTGAAGCACCGTATCGCTTGGGAAGCATGGTGGCCTCAATGTCATCATCGTCATCGCTTGTGATATTCTCTGTCAACCCTGTTACCTCCGAGGCTCGCTTCTGTGACCTTGTTTTCTTCATTTTAGGCTTCTTTGGTTCGCAGCAACCGCAGCAGAGACTGTAACAACAGCTACGTTCACGGAACCTAGGAGGATCAAATCCATAGAGCGCAATTCTTCTGAACACACATCCAGTTCCGACGTAGACAGGCCCCTGCAATCCATCCAGAGCCCTCATGTTCACGTCGAAGAAGACGGTGTTGTGGTTGGCATATCGATCGTTGGGGTCAACACCCTCAAATCTCTGGGGGAATTGAACATAGGCAAGACGATCTCCACCCTTGTCCATGAAGAAGCACATGGCCTCTCGAAGGGCAAGAGAGTTAAAGATGTAGTGATCACAATCCAGATTGAGGATGAATGGTCCGTTGGACATGACAGCACTCGTGCGTACGAGGGCGTTCATGGCTCCGGCCTTCTTGTTGTGATCATAGCCTGGGCGCTTTTCACGAGACATGTAGACGAGCATTGGCAAACGGATGTCCACATCTGTGGTATCTATGATGTTCTCCTCGTCGCTGCTGCCCATCAAGGGCTCCGCAGTAGGAGGCGCAAGCATCACCTGAATTATACCAGCATGATCTCCCCGACCGTGCTCTCTACCAGACTGACTCCATGTTCCTGGCCAATGAGTTCCATCTGCCATCCATGTTGCCTTAGGGATGTTGAGAGGCTCCGAAGGATCACTCCCAGACTCCATCTGTTGACGCTTCGCACGAATTTCCTCGTGGGCATTGTAGGCGTCAGACCGTCGACGAATAGAATCGGGCAATCCGTTGACACGCACCTTGAACTCATCGTACTCTCTTTTAACCTTACGGCGATCCTTCACAAAGTCAGAACGAACTTTATTCTTGGTTGGATCCCCTTTAAGCACGAAGTAAGTCTCGGGGTTACGAGGCTCAATGTTATGCTTCCGACAGAAAGGGATCCAAATGCGAGCAAAGCTTGCAGCTTCAGCTAAGGCTTCAAACGACAAAAGAGCACCACCATCGTCGGACAGATAGCACGCGAGCTTCTCCAATGGGTACTCAGAAGCCAGAATGGACAGAATTGTGTTGGCGGTTGTGAGGGGCGGCTCCTTCTCGGGATCGGCAGTGGATACGAAAATGTCAATGCCGGGAAGGTCAGACCTACCACTGGGGTTCTCCGGGGACGGCGTGTCAAACCGTTCCTTCAACACACTTAAATCTGTAAGTCGGTTAATGGGACACAGCTTCGGCAGCTGATCAAGGATCCAGGAGAAAGCGAACCAAATCTCACAAACGACTGACATTCCCCACAACCATATAGCATCGTTGTTCGGATGATTAACACGCCACATGAGGAACAGAGCGAGCACAACCATACGGATTAGGACGATCAACCTGTGCACAGGAAAATTGCATTAGAAACCCGACAGTTGCCTCGAAACAGATAGAACATCTTAAAATAGCAGCCGTAAAGAAGATGACAGCACTGTACAATGCATGCTTATTTCAAACCTTAAAGTACCAACCTGTAAGGACTCAGAATTGCCGTGGATATGCTGACTTTTCTGGTGAGCGGACGCCGCACTTTGTCATTAAACTCGGGCAATGCTCCCATATTTGGAGGGTTATTCCCACCGCCACCATCGTGACCTTGGTCGCCGGGCCACACAGCATTCCCGTATCCATAAGTGCCCTTTGTCTGGTACAGCCATCGGGCGTGGTCGAAATCCGTGGAAGACCCATTACTTACGATCATTCCAGGCTTCGTTTTCAATAGCGAGAGGCGACGTTCCAACCTTGAGCTGTCGTCTCCTGGAGGTGGCAGAGCGCGCATGTCGGTCTCGGAACCATTCTGTGAGAAAGGGTCATCAGCAACAGTGTACTCTAGCTTACATCCAGGGCATTTCCCGGATCCGTTTAGTGCGTCAATGTAACAATCGCGGCAAATCTTGAAGTGGCAATCGCAAGGAGTCATGTCTTCGCCGCGCTCGTCCCTCATCGCCTTGCCATCGCAACCATCGCATGCGCAAGTGGGCCCTCGGGCACCCGCGAGTTGCAGATGATTACCTTCACCTTCCATCATCTTGTCCAGTGTGTGTCCCCGCGTCTGGTTCTTAAAACCCCCCGTGAAGATAGTGCTCGAAACGAATTGCTGCTCGGACTTGCCGGCGATCACAGGGTCCATCCCACGAATGTTATCGCGGCTGGATCCCATAACTTGATTGTCAGGTGTGGCCGGAATCTGCACGGTGTATAGATAGTCGGACCCCATTTCGCTGTCGGTGACAGCACCCATCTCACTCTCGTCGCGGGAGAGATTGTTAGACCTCCCGCTCGAGGTCCTCCTCACATGATGAGAGCCACCACCCACACTCTGCCCCACCATTTGCACATTCTGCTTCCCCGCGCCGCGAAAACCAAGTCCGCTTGCGCCAGCAGATCCTGGAGACGCCATGTCTAACTACGCAGTGGTAGTTTCCTCTCAACTGTCGAACATAAATGCTGATCTGTAAAGACTCGACAATCAAACTAATTTCGACATCTTCCACGATCGGCGAAAATTTAGTTCACGTTCGGTTGGTGGCGACGCTCAAACGCCTGCGATTATATTCTGCCCGCCCCGATGCACCTAAACCACAATCCACAACACAGATTCTACCTCAGTCGCCACACGACACGAGAACAATGGCATGCTTGGAGAATTCTCACCCTGTGTATGGTCACTGACCGATAAGTCGTGGGCAATGTATCCCTAGAACTTTGTACAATATCAGGGCATCTTGTGCAGGTATGAAGGTGTACCTGCCATTGATTAAATTGCAATGGCCTTCTAAACAAATGCCATGCGGAAGCCAGCAAGGAATTACTATCAAACCAAGTCCAGCGCCGACCACCGAGTTCACCATTCAGCAAGGTTTGAAGAAAGCTACAATTAGCGAGTCCGCGTTACCGTCGGACATGATTTCGGCAACTCTCCAAACTCTCCTCTGAACAATTCGTAACATCACTGTATTTCACCATACTGAGAGCCACCAGGAAGGACAGGTTCTAACTACCAACAAAACCTACACCCCAAAACCCACAACAAAAACACTTCGACCAACCAGTCCAAACCAGTTACAGAAGCAGGTACAATTCACTCAGGCCATCACTGGCGTGCACCATACTGCAACCGATTCCAGAATTCGGAGCCATCAGAGAGAGAGAGAGAGAGAGAGAGAGAGAGAAAAAAAAAAAAAAAAAAAAAAAAAAATCGTCAGAACTCACCAAGCAGCGCACGGCTGGTACAACCTCTCCGCCGGTACAATGAGCATACACGACTCTGCGTGCGCGTGCACACACAGGCACTCAGAGCCGCAGGTCAAGGCACACGAGCTCATACACGTCAAGGAAGGCACGAAGAAAAAGAAGTGTGGAAGTTCATTACAAGGTTTCTGCCACTAGGTAGACCACCTCCTAGGTCCTCCCTCCCTCAGTCCACACCGTTGCACCTAACCGACAGAACAACCAAAGTTTACTGCCCTTCATCCTCGTACTCCCGAGCCCCTCGTCACATCAGCTGATTTCGGAGCGGCGCCCAACTCGTAGCAGCATTGATCACTCCCGTCCCCACCTGTAAAAAGGTCAACGTGGTGGAAAATGTGCAATGAATCCCCCCAAATTCTGTCAAAAATCGATATTATCGGATGAGCAAAAACGAGGCCTATCTCAAATACTCCACAACGCATTTGAGAGATTCCAGCTGCAAAATCATCTGTCCCCTGGATGACACAGAAATGCCCACCCACGACCGCACTCCCAGATTCACATTGGATAGCATCTGGACCCACCACGCGGCGATCAACCTGCCGAGCCCGGAGCCAGTCAACCTCCACACTCCTGAAGTAACTGTTACGTCAATCGAAACAACGAACGCCTCCCGATGAACCTGTTCGAACTTCAGATGGCCATCGCAGATCGTTAGAAAAACAGAACCAGAATCTCACTACAATAGCACATCGCGGCAACCCCAATCGGCATGTGAGTCGTTCGGGAGGCCCTGCGCGGATCGTGGCTTAGGTTGGTTCCTCGCGATTGGCGGCACCCTGCCTCTCTTTCGCCGAAAGAAGTTGAGCTCAAGAGTGATTGCGCCGTGTTTACTTTCAGAGTTGCGGTGCCATCCGGGATGTCGAGAATCGCCATCCTTGCTTCACAATTGGACTGGTGTCTTGCCTGGTTTTAAGCGGATGGCAGAGTTTTTCGGATAATGCTCGATGAATTAAGCATTTGAGAGATTTTTGTTCTGTAATGGGTTGCATACCTCGCTCTGCTGTGGCTCGATGACTTCAGCAAACCATGCTTGGAATGGTCAATCTTCTCTGGGACAGTTATCTAGATGCTCTGAAAATCCATGACCATCCGTTACGACTTCTACTCGTCACCCGTTGTAGAATTCGAGAAAATCGATACAACTATTTACACTTAAACAAACTCAGACATGCGTGTGCATCAAGGGAGTGACTTAGAGGATCGATGCTTCTGACAGTTTTCAGAAATAGAATGAGTCCCTTTCATTTCCATTCTGATCAGAACCTTTAGATTTTCGGCGTACCAATACCACACACTGTGCAGAAAATAAATAAACAAAATAGAAAAAATATGTATATATAATCATAAATTATTATTTTTGTGGTTAAAGTACAATAAGAAGAATGATAATAAATAAATAAATAAATAAATAAATAATCTCCACTCCAAAAAAATCAAAATAATAATAATAGTAATAATAATATATATGGTGGGGGAGGAAGGCACACCCTTTCTTTCTTTCTTTCCTTATTCTTCTTCTTCTTCTTCTTCTTCTTTCTCTCCCTTTCTATTTCTTTCCATTTTCTATTCTTAATATTGTTACTTCGTTGCTTCTCTTTTTCTATTTTCCTTGTGTTTATCTCTGCATGCCATTTATGGTTGTGGTGTACCAACAGTACTGGTGATTGTACTCCATTGGGTTTTCGTTTCTCGAAGGTGGAAATTTCGTTCAGGTTTTATTTATTTTTTGTATTTTGTGTCACTACGTAGGGTTTATTTGAAACAGTGTCAGTTTGTAGCACCAGTCAACAAAGAGGAGGAAAGAAGTCTTTCTGGTGTCTTTCTAGTTGTTGTTCATGTTGCTGTTCCTCTGCTTCTTCTTCGTCTAAGGCACGGAGTGCATGTGGGTCCGCTCGCCCAAATGGACAACAGAGTTTCTTGTTTTGTCTTCAACACAGGGTTGCCATGCAAAACACTAACAGTTCCTAATGGGCAGCTAATGGGGGTTGCTGGAGGACAAACCTCCTCCGCGGCAAATTCAATACACTGCTGCGGCTACTGCTAAAACGAGAGACTAAATAAAGCAAAAGAATAAAGAGAAAGCAATATTTGTTGTAAATTAGGGTATAATGCTATTCCGAGGAGGGACGCCATAAATGAACTGCCTGCAGACAGAGGAGTGTGTTTTTGTCACTGCAGGGTCTGCAGAGATATGCTTTGGCGAATGACACTTGTGGGGTCCTTATTTCTTCCATGAATAGTAGTAGGAAAATGGACTCCTGCTTTATTGCTCCCTCCCTTACAAAGGAGGAAAGGTTATGTGCCTTAAACTCCACTATGACCCTGGCTATGACTCTTCCTGCTGAGCTTCCTTTTCTCAAATTATTCAATCACTTTTTAATTTTATTTGGACGTAATTCAATATGAAAGTAAAAACACTTTGAACTCGTTCTTATTTCGAGGCTGAGTAGAGTTTTCCTGGACGGAGAAGCATAGCTGTTACTCTTTAGGAATCTGTTTCACTCACATATTCAAAATAGTTCCTTAGAATTGAATCACATGAGTCATTGAAATCTGCCACCCTTCTATTTATTTCAGATAAAGCAGAGTTGTATTTTACATAGTATCTTTGCGCCATCCATTTTTTGCATTCTTCCACACGATTTGTTTTTGTTGTTGTGAATCAGTGTCACATATTCATTATGGATTTTTTGGGAAATCCCTCTATTATTTGATGATACATATTATTATACAAATGTAAGATTCAAGGTCCCTGACAGGAAATATGCTTCTGGACTGTAGTTCTTTTTTTTAATCTTATGCTTTACTGTAACATTCGGTTTCAATGATGTAATTCTGGTGATGGTATGGACCTTGTTTCCCTTCTAGATTTTCAAATGCAAGTTTACACAATTTTCTGGAGTTTGTGCAGCCAACAGTAATCAGTCAAGAATTCATATTTGAAATTAGTTGAGCGAAGAAAAGAAGGACCTGGCTCCGTGGACCCACAGTTTGAAATGGGGTTGGAAATACTCTAACATGCCCACATTTTCAAACTTGTTGCATGGGATTAGCTCAACTGTTCCACACAAAGACTTTGCAACACTAAAAGTATTCCCCCCCTAAAAGTATTCGAATAAAATCGTATAAAAACCCAATTGTTATCGACATAAACATTTTATTGTTATTAGGAGTTTCAAATGAATAGACTTCTGTCCATGTCCTTAAATTGAATGCATTTAATTTACAATTGATTGTTGTAAATATCAAAGTTGTTCTTGATTTCGTTTTGTTTTTGTTTTTGTGCATATTTTTTGGTCCTCTACAACCAATCAATGGAATTACAAACAATGTGAGAGTCGTTGAAGATGCTTTAATCCTTCCAAAAGTTGAATCATTATTCATCAGTTTCTTTAATACTTGTACCTTAAAAAATAAATCAACAATCTAAATTTTGGACTTACAACTGGACATCATGTGCTTTTTAGTCTTTCTAGATTCCAAATTTCGAAAAAATTAAATTTGCTTGTTCATTAAAAGCAGGATTTTGTTTGATACAATTCTTTAATCACTTTTGCTTGAGGTCCAAAACATAACGATTCATGCTCACACACACGCAATTGCCAAATTTAATCGATTAATTAATTGCCTTTGACATGAAATTAGCACTTTTGAGCAAATCAGGCATGTTATCAACCATGTCAGAGCGTTTAAAATTGAAAAAGGTTTTGGGATCTTTGTCTTTTATAGGTCGTACTCACCCCCATCTCCAGCCAATCAAGCCTCATCCAACTCCATCCAACTATATGGGTGAGTTAGAATTCAATGAGCAGCATTAAGGTTGAAAAAAAAAAGAAGTTGACTTTAGAGTGGCAAAGTGAAAAGAATTTCATTCACATATCTTGTTGTGACTCAAATGATCACATCCAATCAAACCAAAACCAAGGCAAACTTAAAAGCATCAACTTTTGTGCATAGTTTTTGTGGCTTTCTTAGAACAGAATGCCATTCATGACAACCTGTGCTTTGTTATTGAAGGTCTAAAGTAGTCATTGCATTAATGATATAATAAATGTGGTTTAGAGAACTATGACATGATTTTGGTTGGAAATTATTCATGTACAGGGAGGGAATTCTTGTGGCATGGGTGGAATTTGTAATCATCTTGTTCAATAATTCAGTAAAATGCTGATGCATGCAATGTGGGGATGATTTGATGAAGGTTTGGTTTTCATGTTTTAGTGAATGACAGAAAGGAAGTGTGAAACAAGTGAGTTAATGATACTAGGGTTATTTAGTATGTTATGACTGCCTGTTGCTGCTTTTACAGATTGATATGTAAGTAATTAAGGAAATAAATACACAACATCCTTACAAACATGCAATGTAATGTTAGTCTGTATCACGAGAGTATATCTTGATGCTTCAACACAATAATCAAGAAACAGTAGAGAGTTAATATTCATAGTAAAGATATATAACTATTATAAAATCCTGAATGGTGATTTTTTTTTTCTTCTTTTCATGATGTCCATTTTAAAATGAAATTGTTACATGTGGCCATAAAGGATTTAATTTTTAGTTTGTTTATTTGTTAAAATGCATTAGTCCTAGTTTTAGGCAGAAAATGATATTGAAATATGTACAACATTGGAGGAGTTGCATGAGGAGAGAATCTTGGAAAGACAACACAATGGTTTTTGAACAAAAGCATTGAGTATATTAGAACATTAATTTTATGAATTTGTCAGCAGTTTGTTTAAAACTGGGAGCTAAAGTTTTCATCAAGCAAGTATTCAATGCATACTTGCTTAATCAAATAGCAGGATGGGGGGGGGGATTTTGAAAAATGTATTTATAAATGTGAATTGAACTATCAAATATAGAGAGAGAACTATAACAGAATCAAGAATTGTTAGAAGGTTTTGCGTCGATTCTCTTGATTGATGACCAGTAGAAGATTTTTTGATGATAGTAAATCTTGGTGACAATTCAGTGTTGTTTCAAGAATATGTATTACAAATGATTTTGGTTAGTTAATATTCATCACATATGTTTTAATTATATATATATATATATATATATATATTGGATTTTTATTGGTAAGATTTAAAAAGTAATAACTTTGATGCATGTTTTGATAAAAATACACACGAAATATCCTCATATGGATT